AACATTTCCCTTACAATTATCCGTACTTTTTTAAACAGTGTTTTGAACTGGAATTATCCCATCAAGTATATTGAAGAGAAATTCAACCCATTCCCTTCAGTAGGGATTTGAACACATTTATCCCCGGCTAGTATGCTATTTCCCTTAAAAGTTGGGTTAAAAAATTCTAAATAATTATTCTGAGGGGTAAACTTGGTGCCCCATCTAAACAGTAAAATTCAGTTTTTTTTTTTTTTTTAGCCAAAATGTTACCTGTGTACATAATCATGTACCCTAAAAGTATGAGCCGATAAACAATTTCTACATTTTAAACAAAACATTCCTTAAAAAAACTATAACCAATATTCTTTCATTATATTCTTGCACTGAAAATTTTTAATTTGTAAAAACTTGTAAACAAAAAACTTGCCTGACAAACAAATTAGGAAATGTTACGAAAATATACACCTTCCAATATTTTTTTTTTGGGGCTTAGTGTTGACTGCTTGAAGCTCTAGACTAGTTCCAGAAAGTCCGACACCGATGTGGCAATGGACGAGATCACAGAGTTGCTGTGGCTGTGACTGCCTTCGTATCATACACAGAAATCCTGCTCATGCAGAGTTCACAATGGCTGCCATCTTTTGCTGCAGAATATCACTGACACGGACGCAGATAGTCATCAAAGCCCTATACCAAAATTGAAAATATATTTTTATATTTCTTATTTTTATAGATCATTCGGCACTTGAACGAACAAACTTTTTGTTCAAAGGGTTGAGAATCGGGCATGCAGCCCCATCAAACATTCTGTCTTTTCAGTTCACATCTTACATACAGTTATTCATTTGCACATCATTTCCTAGTTAATAAAAAAAAAATGTCACAATATCTAGGTCTTACAAAATACTGAAATGTGTTCTAATTATACTTACGTTGCTGATTGGTAAAAAGTATAATAATAAACCAAGTGATGTGGTCAATATGCTGCCATCTGTACACGACTGGCAAGTCAAATTTGTTATTTTTGTAAATGAAAACACAAGCAATAAAATGTTTAATTTAAAAAAAAAAAAAAAGTTGAAATGCAAAACACGTTCATTGCCTCAGATCAAGAAAACATTCTAGTAAGACTGTAAAAAGATGGATTTGATTTGGAAAAGGAGAAAATTTGGCTTTCCAATCCTGTGTCTACCTATACTCCCATAACATCATGTGTTACTAGGCACTGAGTGACTGTTGACTGTTGTCATGCCTTTCTATTTCTGGCAAGCTGATCCGCAGGAACTGATGTTTTTGTATTCGAGACCCATCCTGTCAGCTAAATTTTTTTTATCAAGGACTATCCCCTTGGCCACCCCTGATTTCAAGAAAATATACAGGTAATGGTGACTTCTGGGCCAATAGAGAACTAGGCACTGCAAAATGTTCAGGTTTTAAGTTATTTTTGCTTCCGACAGCGCATTGCTAATGCAGTGTCTTCATATAGATGGACGTTAACTGTTTTGCTGCCTGAGCTACTAAGTTAGTGCTGGTGATAGCACACTGTTAGCTGTGGTTTTCATGTGGATGTGCCTAATGTAATCATACTCACAGTGTGTATAGCCAACTTATTGTAACTGACTATTTCATCAACGACAAACTGCATTTCTGGTGGCGACTGCTGGCTTTGGCACCTCTAGCAACTTAGTATAAGATCATATACTGCGTGCACATATGTCTGGATTGGCACCGGACTAATTGTTTGTTCACCAGTTTTTTAAATGGGAACAATGAGGGACATTTAATCTGATTTTCACTGGTACAGTAACAGAGCAAGCAGGGGTGAGCCTATTGCAGTGATGTTGAAACCTGCAACTAAGACTAAGACCTCCTGGCGCAGTAGGACAGTGCTTTATGGGACTTTAGCTACAAAATAATTACAGAGAACTAGACAAAGAAATGTTGTAAAGACTTGTTTACCAGAAAGCCTAATTAGTACATATAGAACCAAAGACACTGTCTTTTTTTTCTTCTCTTTCTCCTGTTACCTTATTAAGGTGTTGGAGAGAGAGGTAAGGATCATCTATGTGCATGTTGCATAAGCTGATGTTAATTTTTCAGGCTGCTTTTGATGCCATTATTCTACATTTTGTTTGGTGCTCCCATTGCGGTGTGTGGATCAAATTTATCCAGCAAAGCTCTCTCTGGTAAGTGGTACCAGGGCATTCTTGTCAGAGTACTAACCACCTCATCTGTTACTCTTTACTGAACTTATGATTGTTCTCGGTCCTAGTCTTCTTCCTTTTAATGTCAAAATACTCTAGTTATAAACAGTCTCCCTCAGCAAATGCTAAAGTATGAGTATGTTTAATCATGCAAGAGGACACTGTTTATGTATGTCAACCTTTCTTAGGCACATATATATGTCTCTGTATTTCTCTTAGAGTTGAGTTGAGTTGATTCAATAACTGTCATCACAGCACTCTGGGCATTCCTATAAGCGCTCCGTCCCCATCTTCAGCAGCTATCGCAGAGTTCAAATACTAATGGTGCCAGTAGCATTCTGATTAAACGTATGTCTTGCCTTTATTTTGAGCCTCATATTTCTTAGAAATTTCATGTATTTGTTTGTTAATTTATAATTGTATATTTTCTTCTAATATAGATACAAACACTGACTGATCATTGTCACGTAACAGCCCCCCCCCCCTTTTTTTGTCTTAGACTCGTCTAGATCTTGTCACCTCTATGCAGATGAAGCTAAGTTTAAAAGTCGACTTGCCTCTTTAGGTAAATAGTCCATCTTTTGTAATTGGGTGTCTATAGGTCGAGTTAAGTACTCCTATATGTCCTAATTCTCTTTGGAACATTGAAGTTTTGAATTTATAATTTTAGGTGAGAGATTCATTGGTAAATATTGCCAAAAGTCCTATGGGCATATCACCGCCTGGGGAGGATTAATCTTTCCCGCCTTCTTCGAAAGAGACGCTTGAGTTGGGACTATTCTCAACCTGGCTTTAAGGAAGAGCAGACGCTTTGTGCCTTTGCGCTAAATTCTGTTTGATATCTAGGATCATTTATGTTTCCTACAAGAATCCAGAGCTTGGGTAAGTCAGTTATAGTTTATGAGTACCATGTAGGTAAACCCCACTGCTGAAGGCAGGTTAGGCTTAGGTATGAGATGTTTCAGGGCTGTGCTTTCCTTACATTTAAATTGCAGGGGCCCACCCAAACTATGCATTCCTTTTAAAGGCCGAGGTTATTCTTCTATGAGATTCCTAGCATAAGTCAGGAGATTTGGCCACCAGACAACCCCGTTACACGACTGGTATCATTTGTTGAAAGTTTTAATACATGATCTTTGAGCTAGCTGAATATTTGGGTCAGCACATACTTATTGACCGGGTCCAGAGTGGACAGGTCTGACATCACAACATGGCCAAAACAGGTCGACTCATGTCAACAAACTGTAGGGACAAGCTGAGTGCCTAGATACACCTTTTTAGGTGATAGATTATTCATTTTCATGTATGTATGTTATTCTGTGTGAATACAGATGTGTCGGTTTGAAAGAAGAGTGGTACTATCCTTATCAGAGAGTCCTATGTCTATAGCTCTGTCAGAACGTTGTTTCCTATCTTTTCTGCTGACATAACAATGGTGTTGTAATGGCTCTACCACAGTCTCACATCCTTAGAGCAGACCTCTGAGCTATGGTTGTGTGAATATAGGTAGAGTAGGAAATAGGCATTTGAGGTATGGGATGATTGCTAATTCTGGTTTTTCCTTCTGGCACAGGATTGTAAGTTCACTGAAGGCCAGATTGACAATCACCACATATCCACATCACCAGTATTCCTTACCACCACCAGCCCGAAGATACTACCATGGGGCCTGTCAACATGCCTGTTCCTAGGCCCAGGTAGTGACCAACTGTTCCATTGTGAGAGATCCATTTGCATCACCTCACCCCTGAAGTAGGTTGGATGTTCATTGGAGCTGTGGGATTCTGCCTAAACCATTGTGAGCCAACATCTCAACATTTTGTGAACTACTTCAGAGTGCTATTTGGTTTTTTAGGGAAAACCCTTACCAAGGCACGTGACACCAGCAGTTATCTGGCAATCATTTTTAATAAAACAAATAAAATGAAAAACACCAGGATTCAAAAATTACATACCCTTTTTCCCATGACTTTTTTAGCATTGAGAAGTAAACGCATTTCATATTTACATAGTGATGTGACAGTTGCCAGCTGGTCTTCATGGGCAGCTACAAGTTGCATTCTGGGAATGATTCACAGGAGTTGCAGATTAATATACTATGTAAAGGTTACTCTCTCATGGAGAGTTACTACTAGTTTGAGTTACACATTTTCTCAGAAATAGGTGAAATAGAAATTTAAAAAAAAAAAAAGAAAATAGGAATAGATGAAAAAAAAAATTTCAATAACCTGACAAATATGTTAAAACCTAGAGAGTTAAAGAAAACATTAAAACTGAAAATTGTCAAAGCTATGTGATGAACTCAGATGAAGAAACCAGGACAGTGAACAATAACTTAGAAAGTTAAAATGTGTATTTTAGGAAGAATGTGCCACATTTCATGGAAACATTTAAATATAGATAATTCAGTAATCTGATATAAAAAGAGCGGATGAAAGATATAAAAGAGTGAAGCCAAATATTTAAGCTATTCTAAAAGTCATGGCATTCTTTTATTACCATAAAGGAGGGAACAGTCAAAGGCAGATGAGCAATAGGCAACATCAAGAGATGGTAAATAAAAGTGAACAACCAGGGTCACAGAAAGAGAGTGCCCAAGATCCCATGCAGTCTACCTTCATTGGGGAGCTGGCACCTGAATATCTTCTTCTTCTTCGTCTTTTGTCATCTCACTGATATCAGCTGGTAGCCCAGGGTCATTGTTTTGTCATCTCACTGATATCAGCTGGTAGCCCAGGGTCATTGTTTTGTCATCTCACTGATATCAGCTGGTAGCCCAGTGTCATGGTTTTGTCATCTTTCTGATATCAGCTTGTAGCCCAGTGTCATGGTTTTGTCATCTCACTGATATCAGCTGGTAGCCCAGGGTCATTGTTTTGTCATCTCACTGATATCAGCTGGTAGCCCAGGGTCATTGTTTTGTCATCTCACTGATATCAGCTTGTAGCCCAGTGTCATGGTTTTGTCATCTTTCTGATATCAGCTTGTAGCCCAGTGTCATGGTTTTGTCATCTCACTGATATCAGGCTGTAGCCCAGGGTCATTGTTTTGTCATCTCACTGATATCAGCTTGTAGCCCAGTGTCATGGTTTTGTCATCTCACTGATATCAGCTTGTAGCCCAGTGTCATGGTTTTGTCATCTCACTGATATCAGCTTGTAGCCCAGTGTCATGGTTTTGTCATCTCACTGATATCAGCTTGTAGCCCAGTGTCATGGTTTTATTGTCATCTCACTGATATCAGCTTGTAGCCCAGTGTCATGGTTTTGTCATCTCACTGATATCAGCTTGTAGCCCAGTGTCATGCTTTTGTCATCTCACTGATATCAGCTTGTAGCCCAGTGTCATGCTTTTGTCATCTCACAGATATCAGTTTGTAGCCCAGTGTCATGGTTTTCTCATCTCACTGATATCAGTTTGTAGCCCAGTGTCATGGTTTTCTCATCTCACTGATATCAGCTTGTAGCCCAGTGTCATGGTTTTGTCATCTCACTGATATCAGCTTGTAGCCCAGCGTCATGCTTTTGTCATCTCACTGATATCAGTTTGTAGCCCAGTTTGTCATGCTTTTATTGTCTTACTCACTATCAGTTTGTAGCCCAGCGTCATGCTTTTGTCATCTCACTATCAGTTTGTAGCCCAGCGTCATGCTTTTGTCATCTCACTATCAGCTTGTAGCCCAGCGTCATGCTTTTCTCATCTCACTATCAGCTTGTAGCCCAGCGTCATGCTTTTCTCATCTCACTATCAGCTTGTAGCCCAGCGTCATGCTTTTGTCATCTCACTATCAGCTTGTAGCCCAGTGTCATGCTTTTGTCATCTCACAGATATCAGCTTGTAGTCCAGCGTCATGCTTTTGTCATTTCACAGATATCAGTTTGTAGCGCAGTGTCATGGTTTTCTCATCTCACTGATATCAGCTTGTAGCGAAGCGTCATGGTTTTGTCATTTCACTGATATCAGCTTGTAGCGCAGTGTCATGGTTTTCTCATCTCACTGATATCAGCTTGTAACCCAGTGTCATAGTTTTGTTTTCTTACTGATATCAGCTTGTAGCCCAGTGTCATGGTTTTGTTTTCTTACTGATATCAGCTTGTAGCCCAGTGTCATGGTTTTGTCATCTCACTGATATCAGCTTGTAACCCAGTGTCATGGTTTTCTGTGTTTGTCATGTGCTCTCGGGTGGCTTAGGTGATGGACTTGTTAATCTTTTTTGCAGGTTTTGGCTACTCCATTTATTCATCTCTTTCTTGGTCTTCCTCTTGCCTTCTTCCCAGATGATCTGTTGTAAGAAGTCGCATATGCAGTTTGGTCTAGCTGCATTCTCACCTGATGGCAGAATGGTTATTATTTATCTGGTATTCACATGTCCCAGAGAAAATAAACATCATTATGAGTGTGTAAAGACTTACTTCTCTTCAAACTGAGTTGAGTTCATTGCCTCTGCTCCCACACTTTGTGCTCCAACAATTGTTCCAAGGTTCTGGGTAAAAACTGCAGTGACTGGAGTTGGCTGGATGAGTTCTAATGATGAAGTAGGACAACCCACACTTGACCTACTTTGAACATTTGTTGCCGGAGGGGGGTGTATGGGGGAGAAGACAGCACCAGATGACAGCTTTTCTGTGACAATGGCTGACCTGTGAACACAAGAGTGGGTAAGCATAATAAAAAAAAATTTCATTTCTTTCTTAGAACAACCATTAACATCTATTTTGACTGTTCTAAGTTTGAAATGAGACACAAAGTGCTGATTATTATTCAAGATAGTTAATTATTTCATTTGTTTATCATCTATTTCAAACATGTATTTCTTTACCGTGTGTCCCTTGATCGGGATTTGTAATATTATACTGCAATATTGGGTACTATGTATTCTTGAAAAAAGGATCCCAGGTAGGGGTTCCAGAGTACCATTATGGGGAAATGAAGAACAGACCCACTGCCCAAGTACTATTACCTCCCCAAATTATCAACATAACACATGATGATGATGTTAGTGACTGCAATATAACTCATAATATAGTCCAGATTTATCAATAGCTTTAAGGTGAATTGAATCAAATAAACCAGTCTTACCCATTTTTCACTTTAGGTTGAAATCCAGTCAGGGATGTATCAGACATGTACTGAGAATTGTCCGGATGCTGGACTTGCCCAACAAATGCATGAATGTCCACCTGTGAATTCAAAACTGGTACTTGTGGCAGTTGTTTACCCCGATTACTTCTTTCAGCTCCCAGTGTCCTCTGTCTTTCTGTAGCTGCTAGCACGCCGCAGCTGCTTCCATCACTAACGTGTTCCTTCTGCCCTGAAGAGAAGTCCTTCTGGTAATCAATGTTGGCGGAAATCCCTGAGCTGGGATTACACAAGTTGTCTCCCCCTACAGAAGTACCATCTCCAGCATGAGCCAGTGGCAGTTCATTGTGAACAACCTTCCAGCCAGCATCCCTGGGCACTCTCCCTGATCTGGATGAGTTGCTTCGAGTCAGCATCCTAGAAAGTACCAACAAGAATGAAAAATTTTTTAATAGTAATTTATTTTTTTTTTTAAATATAAATAATCCCTCTTCAACAACAGTCATCTTCTATTCTTTTGGACATTTCCATTAAAGCAATCCTTTGTTGTCTGGATCATATACATGCTGATAACAGTGACTGTCAAATACCCAGCACCTCACCTGTTGAGTGTCAAGTGGGTATCGTTAGGTACACAGAGTGTAGCCATATCTTTGTTTGGACCAATCATCAATTTAGGCTGATCAACCAGGGCATTTAAGTCAATGGCAAATGAACCGATCTTGAAAGAGCTTCAAACTCGTCACGTTCTCTTTCCCTACTTCCTTGATGAACACATGATGGCCATGGCACTACCTGGTCTCCCATTCTGAGTAGAGTCAGAAATGTGCTTTTTAACACTTATATACACAATAAACTTACAATTAAATCACTGGGAGATCATATTTTTTTTTTTATTTGGATGAGTTTCTTCTAATCTACAATTTAGGAGGTAAAGATAAAGATTGGACCCTTTGCAACCCTTGGGTTATTATTGGGTATATGGTGCTAGTCCCATCTATTGACAAACCAGCTGATATTAAATGGGTGAAGTGCTGGATATCATCCACAAGTGTACTGTCCAGGACATTTTGTGGATAGGTCAGCCTAAACTGTATACCACAACTGGATCAGGTCATTATAACATTTCTCTTGATGGAGATTTGAAAAGATGGCCTCTCTGCCTCACATGCAAATATACCAACCACTAGGTGACCTTGACTTTCACTCTCAGAGGTAGCTGGGGGAAAAGTATACTTAAATATAAATTGAACTGTCTGTCAGGTTAGTGAAACATTAAATTTAATTTTTTTTTTATTTTTATTTTTTTTTTTTGTTTTTTTTTTTAAATTAATTTTTTTTTAATTTTGTGTGTGTGTGTGTTAGTCTTTCCTCCTTAGCCTAGGGCTCTGCATAGAGCAGAGGTCTTTGCTCTCCATGTCTGGCAGTTCATTGCTACCTGTTTTAGGTAGATGTTCATTAGGCCTATGGAAGAGCCTTCCCTGATGATGGTTCTACACAGGGTCTCTCTTGGTCTTCCCAGTTTTTTTTTCCCTTCCGGTGTCCATACGAGGACTTGATGGGGGAGTCTGGTTTTATCCATTCTGAGTGCATGGTCAATGTAGCTCCAGCGGCACTTTTTTATACAATTATATTTATTCTCTTGCTTGGTCTCTTGTCTTATTTGAAATTAGTTGGATCTGAAATCTGTCCGGTGAAGATTAAGTATTCTTCTAAGACCTCAAAATTTCTAATTTCTTTTTATAATTTTGTTTATTCTAGAGCAATTAAGTACACTGTTAAGTCAAAAATAGTTCATTAGGACACTTCTGTTTAAAAAAATATAGGTCAATGACACCCACAGCTTCAGAATGTCATGTAGAGGGTAAAAGATCAGTTTAGTAGTCTCTTTGGTGTAGGAATGGTTTCAAGAGTTAGAAAATAACATCAGTTTAGTAGTCTCTTTGGTGTAGAATGGTTTCAAGAGTTAGAAAATAACATCCGTTTAGTAGTCTCTTTGGTGTAGAATGGTTTCAAGAGTTAGAAAATAACATCAGTTTAGTAGTCTCTTTGGTGTAGAATGGTCTCAAGAGTTAGAAAATAACATCCGTTTAGTAGTCTCTTTGGTGTAGAATGGTTTCAAGAGTTATAAAATAACATCAGTTTAGTAGTCTCTTTGGTGTAGAATGGTTTCAAGAGTTATAAAATAACATCAGTTTAGTAGTCTCTTTGGTGTAGAATGGTTTCAAGAGTTAGAAAATAACATCAGTTTAGTAGTCTCTTTGGTGTAGAATGGTTTCAAGAGTTAGAAAAAAGTAAAAGAATGGTTTCAAGAGTTATAAAATAACATCAGTTTAGTAGTCTCTTTGGTGTAGAATGGTTTCAAGAGTTATAAAATAACATCCGTTTAGTAGTCTCTGTGGTGTAGAATGGTTTCAAGAGTTAGAAAATAACATCCGTTTAGTAGTCTCTGTGGTGTAGAATGGTTTCAAGAGTTATAAAATAGCACTCTTACACAGACAGCATGTGAGAATTATGCTCTCAACAGAGAGACACACAATTTATCCATTTATAAAGAACAAAATTATCTTCCAATGAAAGATATTTATAACACAGTTATTTAACCAGAAGAAACAAACATAAATATCTTATTGTGTATAAATAACAGAAATATCTTACTGGGTATAAAATAACATAAATATCTTACTGGGTATAAAATAACAGAAATATTTGATTGGGTGTAAAATAACAGAAATATCTTACTTTGAAATGCTCTGAGGATCTGGCAATGTATGCTTCTTTCTCTGTGTGTCTAGTGCTAGCATGGGGTCACTTCTTCCTTTCCTCATGCTAGTTTTACTGTGGTGTCTATGCTCTCCCTGTCCTTGATCAGAAAAAGATGCTCTGATGCTGTCCATGGAGTCACCACTAGCTTCACCTGTTGGAGAAGGTGATGTCTTTTGGTGCGACCCACAGTCAGAGCCATCAGAGTGATACTGGATGTTTGAACCATGGATGGAGTCTTCATTGCATTTGTAACATGAGGCATTTTTTTGCTTCACCGGAAAAGATGAGCTGTGGTCAGAAGATGGGGAATGCCCACGCTGCTGTGGTAGTTGACGAGACAGAGGCTGGTGCTGAGAAGCATAGCTGAGAACTGAATCAGTATCTTCATTAGCAGGCTTGTCTCCTTGCATGGGGTACTGTCTGGGAGTGGGCGAAACTGTCATCTTTGGTTGGGGTAATTGATTTTTCTGTGAGGAATCTGACTGCGTTTTATGTGACAATTGTTCAAGTTGTGTGGGAGCACCTACTGGGTACAGAGAAATGCTGCTGACTTGTTTATTAATTCCGATCTCAGATTTAGTGGAATTTTCAGTGAGCTTTGTGTAATGCTCCTGACTTAGGACTGCAACATCACCCTCATCAAGTGTTAAAGGAACGGAGGCATTCTTGGTAATGACTGAGGCTGAAACTGTCCTTGATGTGGCCAAGACAGACACAGCTGAAGGAGCACCCAGATTGTTCATCCCTTGTGCTGCAGTCTGAGCATCTAGTCCCTCACAGAATAGTTCATCTTCATCAATACTATCATTACTGGTGTCTAGGTCTTCAGGCTGAGACTTCTTGAAGTTTGGTGTGTGTCTAGACATCTGTGGAGAGACCAGCGAAGGCGAATGAATCTTCTTAGCAAATCCTGCTATCTGGGGTGTGTGTAAAAACAGTTCTGCACTAGCAATTTCTGTGCTGGAGTCCATAGATCTGTACACAACTGGTCTCAACACTGGAGGTTTTATGTTTGAAGAAAGAGTGGGAGTTGCAGGTACTTCTGCAGCAGCAGCAGCAGCAGCAGCAGACACAGCTGAATCCACTGTTGGAATTTGACTAAGAATATGAGGACTTTTATCCCCAGGTATTGGTTGTGCCTCTTGAAATGTTGCACGGTTGAGATCATTTATGTTTTCAATGTTATTAAAATCTGAAGTAGGAAAGTCAAATTCTGTGTCTGTTGATCGTGTAACTGGTATGAACCTGTTTGAAGTTCTTGCAACTGTTGAAACTGGGTGTGTCACATTGCAGGAGTCTGTGTCTGTCTGATCTGATTCACTAGGAGATGCATCTGGAGGGGGAGCAGAGGAACCCTGAGAAGCAGCTGTTGCATGTGCGGATGACCGTGAAAATATTGCTGGTGGAATTTGAGGGACAGAGGAAATCAAGTTCATACAGTCTGTTCTTGACTGACCAGTTGCAGCATGTACTAGAGGCTGTCCGTGCTGAGTTTTCTCTTTTTGTTTTCTTTGCAAATTATGACCTCTTAGAGGAGTCTCTGCTGGGTCTAAGTGTAAATCCACAGGAGTCTGGGATCTTTCTCTCCGAGGATGAGAGGAAACTCTCACAGGAGTTGAGCTAGATAAAATATTTGATGGATGGAAAATAGAGGGCGCTGTGGGTGGAATATTCATCAGAAGATTCATTGCCTGACCAACTGAGCTGCTTTTAGAGGAATCTCTTCGTAGCTCTTTCACTCTGGAGATAAGAAAATATAAACATGTACAATGGCAGTCTTATTTTTAAAAATTAAAATTACATTTAAATTTAAATATATTATGACATGATAAACATGAAATTATTACACACCAATTGCCTACACATTATTACCCAATTTTTTTTTAAAAAAAGCGCTTCGGGAGAGAAAAAATCTGGAATTCCTAAAGAGGATCAGCAATGCTGACACATCTGCTCTGGCAATTCCTGCAATGTCTTCACTGCCAGGCTGTATTGGCACTTGCCCTTCCCTTGGTATCACCAGCGGCATAGGGACAGGTGTACCTGCTGCCTGCACAACAGCCTGTAACCCAATTCAACATTCCCAGGCCTGTGCCTTAGAGGGAAAACCACCAGCACAACTTCTTGGTACCCAGGGACTAATGGTTGCCTATTCATCACATGACAAAATTCACCACATCGAAGGGAGTAAGTCCTATACATTACATGATAAGATTCACCACATCAGAGGGAGTAAGTCCTACACATTACATGATAAGACTTTTCACACCAGAGGGAGAAAGTCAAGTTTGTACAGAGCCTCTTTAGTAAGGCGCATCAGACACATGATGCTACTAATTTTTGTGTAGACCAAAAAGTGTTCGGTGGGTGATGTGGCCAACATTATTCAGACTGCCTTTAATTTTCAGGACAATATCTGGTATCCATTTTGAGATGGGTCAACAAGGAAGCAAGATCAGATCTAAAAAACAAATCCACCTCGATGAGGATTTGACCACTGACTTCCAGGCAAATGGTCTATACATTGGAATTTTTAGAAAAAAATTTTTTTAATGGCAACATAACACAGAATGCATCAGAAATAATGCAACAAAAACATTCTTTATTTGGAGGAAGGGGGGGTAACAATGCTAAACTAACCTTAAGTCAGTCAGCCATGTGTTACTGCTAGCAAGGGAAGAAATAAAATGTAAGAGCATAAACTATCAAGGATGCCGTAAATCAGTCACCCATGTGTTACTCCAAGCAAGGAAAGATAGAAAATATAAGAACATTAACTATGAAGCCTGCCGTAAATCAGTCACCCATGTGTTACTCCAAGCAAGGAAAGATAGAAAATATAAGAACATTAACTATGAAGCCTGCCGTAAATCAGTCACCCATGTGTTACTACAAGCAAGGAAAGAAAGAAAATATAAGAACATAAACTATGAAGCATGCCGTCAGTCAGTCACTCATGTGTTACTACAAGCAAGGGAAGAAAGAAAATGTAAGAGCATAAACTATCAAGGATGCCGTAAATCAGTCACCCATGTGTTACTACAAGCAAGGAAAGAAAGAAAATATAAGAACATAAACTATGAAGCATGGCGTAAATCAGTCACCCATGTGTTACTACAAGCAAGGGAAGAAAGAAAATATAAGAACATAAACTATGAAGCATGCCGTCAGTCAGTCAAGGATGTGTTACTGCTAGCAAGGGAAGAAAGAAAATGTAAGAACATAAACTATGAAGCATGCCGTAAGTCAGTCAAGGATGTGTTACTGCTAGCAAGGGAAGAAAGAAAATGTAAGAACATAAACTATGAAGCATGCCGTAAGTCAGTCAAGGATGTGTTACTGCTAGCAAGGGAAGAAAGAAAATATAAGACCATAAACTATGAAGCATGCCGTAAGTCAGTCACCCATGTGTTTCTATAAGCAAGGGAAGAAAGAAAATGTAAGAACATAAACTATAAAGCATGCCGTAAGTCAGTCACCCATGTGTTACTGCTAGCAAGGGAAGAAAGAAAATATAAGACCATAAACTATGAAGCATGCCGTAAGTCAGTCACCCATGTGTTTCTATAAGCAAGGGAAGAAAGAAAATGTAAGACCATAAACTATAAAGCATGCCGTAAGTCAGTCACCGATGTGTTGCTGCTAGCAAGGGAAGAAAGAAAATGTAAGACCATAAACTATGAAGCATGCCGTAAATCAGTCACCCATGTGTCACTACAAGCAAGGGAAGAAAGAAAATGTAAGAACATAAACTATGAAGCATGCCATAAGTCAGTCACCCATGTGTTACTACAAGCAAGGGAAGAAAGAAAATATAAGAACATAAACTATAAAGTATGCCGTAAGTCAGTCACCCATGTGTTACTACTAGCAAGGGAAGCAAAAAACAGTAACACTGTTAACTTTCAAGCATGACGAAAGTTAATCACACCCATGCACAGGTTATTTCTTATTTTTCTTCTTTGTTTTTTGTAAAAATTAACTAACTAGGAGTATTTTCTTCAAAGTCATCCACCTGAAAAGTGAGGAGCCAAAAGTCTGGGTACAAATAAGCCACCAAATTTCTAAAATGGATGTGCATGTAAAAACTCAAGTTATGGAACAAGACAAAACTTTCCACTAGATTTTACAAGCCATTGAATGTTAATAAAAAAAAAAAAAAAAGAATGAAATAGTTCAGAAATGGCTTGGTGTGAGTTGGTAAGCTCCACTGGGAGATGAAACTGACAAGAAGAAGAAGAAGAAGAAGAGAAGAGAAGAAGAAGAAGAGAAGGAGAACTGCAAGTTGTCACAATTGCAAAATTATTCTAAGAAAAATATAAATGCTGGATTATATCACTGGCACTATGCCAAAGTCACTTAAGTGCAAAATAACTGTTTTGAGAAAATCATGTTTGACCATTGATGCCTCTCTGAAAACTGTATAATTATGCAGGGTTCGGGCCCTACAGTGAGGAAAGCTGCCTCCAAAACAAGCAAGTCATAAAAGTTGACTAATTGGGAGCTTCCATCTAAGTCAGAGTGCACCTGCTTAAGAGGCAAGGAACCAACAGTCTGCATACAAAAAAGTTAGCTCTGTAAAACTGATGTGCATGCAACATTCAAGTTCTGGGACAAGCCTAAAACTCTAAAAGTGAACCAGCAACTAGAACTTTCCTCCGAAGTTTACAGTAGGTGAATGCAAAGAAGAAAAAAAATTGTGTTGTTTCTTGAAAAGTAATAATATATTTCAACCTACCCAGTGTAGGAATTTACATATGTATCTTTGACATGTTGTGAAGTGACAAATAATAACTCTGAAAATTCACTTAAGTGAAAATCATCAAAAGTACACTGAGGTGACTCTGGCTACAGCCAACAATGTTTTTCTTCTACTAATAAATGTGAATTTTTACCTGTCAGCATAACGCAAGGTGTTCAAGGTATTTTCACAAGCTGGCTGAGTAGGTGAAATGTTGGCAATCATACAGGTGCGAGAGTTGCCCACAAATGAATCTTTCAATATATGGGTCAGCTTACTCTGACGAAATGGTGTATGTCTGCTGTCCTGATCAATTGATCTTATGCATTCTTTTAGCTGGAGGATACAACAGGTATTGTCTACAAAATGACATCTTTAATGAACACATTTTCAGACTCAGAATATTTTGCAGCATAATTCCAAGTAGGATAATAAACAAAATGAAAGCTGAATACTTGTAATACTCTCAAAAAAGCAACATATACTAAGTGGCATGTTAAAACAGCTAGCCAGATTTCTTTAATGAGCTGAGACTGAATATAATATATGTAATAACACACTATGTATTGGTTGAAACACATAAACTGGCTGATCACAGATAAGTGCCTTGCTGGGGGAAAACAGCACTAACAACTGACAATACACTGTGAGTGTGTGATTTAAGTGCATGGCTTTCATTTCTAAATCTCCTGGGTTCAAACCTTCAAATTCCCCATGTGCGTTCTCGGGCCCCATAGTGGGTAGATGGAATAACCCACTGCCTCCTTTTAAGCATGGTGTAAAGAATGACTTATTAGAGGTTCACTGATATCAAATGTGTTGGGCCAAAAGATGCAGATATTTTGTCTCAGCTGCAAACCACAACACAACACTCCTAACTGCCCTTGTAAGGGTGAATGAAAAAGTAACCTCCAATTAATATTTCCAAGACAATGTACATGTTTCTTTGTCTTTCTCTTCTTCTTCACAGATTAACATTTACTATGTGTGCTTTTGAGCATATTTTATGGGCAAGACAATAGACCTGAGAAAGTATGGTAATTTGTTTGGTATACATCCTTAGTCTGTTTACTGTAATTGTATTCTATGTAATTTCCAAAGTATAAAAAAATGTAATATTTGTATCAATTCTGCAATATTCTGGCTAGTTGTAAACTGTTTTATTGCACTGGTTAAATTCCAGATTGCTATAAGTCTGGTCAATTTTTTTGGTCAAATTATAAATTGCTACAATACTTTGGTCGAATTCTAAACTTTTACAATACTTTGGTACAATTTTAAATTGCTACAATACTTTGGCACAATTTTAAATTGCTATAATACTTAGGAACAATTTTTTTAGTTGATACAATATTTTGTTGAAATCTAATACAACACAAGACAATATCAGACATACAGCTAGCAGACTCTGGTTAATCTCTGCACCCTCAATCCGTGTTTGTTTATCTGTGTCTGTCACATCAGAGGCTCTCTCACTACCAGCTAAATCAATGAAAGAAATCCTGGAAGAAAATTGTAACAAGTTTATATTAGCATCCTTGACTCAACATAACATATTTAAGTTTCTTCCTCTTCCTCAACCCTTTATGCTCCAATGGAGCGTAGACACTCAACCAGTTTACATCAAGTCATTCTTCCCTTTGCTATTGCATGCATTTCTTCCTATGTATTTTTGTGTATTCATAAGTACAGTGGAGTCTAAATATGCAGGTCAGACGGACCTAAGGAAACTGTTCAACTTCTCAGTAATTCTACTTATCTAGACAGCACACACAGTAGAGAGTGTGCCCTAATACCATGCAGAGTCACTGGGTAACACAATTGTATCACTCAGGTAATACCATAAGTAAACAATTAAATAGCAATACATCAGAAATGTTGAAATATTGAATACACTTACCATCAATCAGTTCAAGCACCAAATATAACAACATATCAGTAGAGAAAACTGAATATCCAAATAAAACATTACAGCAAACACCCACCAGTTTCACGCTTAAAACACCACCCTGTTCGCTTATCTATAAAATTTCTTGTATACTAGACACAACCACAGGGAAAAGACAGTTATGGGACAGCACATTTAGTCAAACAGATAAAGAGTACAGGAGAGAAAGAGAAAAATATAGAGGAAATAAAGGAGAAGAATGAGAGAGAGAGAGAGAGAGAGAGAGAGAAAAAAAAGAGAGAGGGAGGAACGTAAGGAAGAGGAGATGAAGATAGCAGACAAGAGGGAGAGCGAGGAAACAGGAAGCTGAGACAGAGATGGGCAGGAGGGAGGAGAGCGAGAAAACAGTGAGGATAGAGAGAGAAGGCAGAGGATAACAAGAGGAGGGAGTGAGGTCACTTTGCCATTCCCCACCTCCTTCCAGTGTGAAGCTAGAAATTATTGCAGGGGAGGCGACTGCTCCCACCCATGTGTGGCTGTCACTGTGTAACTGCTTGCTGCAATAGTTCCATTTCTTACACAGCTCACTTTTTATTAGGGCTGTACCGAATATTCGCTTCGTATTCACTTCGGGGCTTCGGAATATGAATAGTAGTTACCTTACACCCGCTTCTGCATACACTGCCTTAATGCTGACAACATGGAAGGGTTGGTTTTGTTAAAAGCTAATGCAGCGCTTCTGCATTAACTAAGTTGTCAGTGATAATTTCCAAGTTTAGTTACTTGCTATAATACTTGGGATTCTTTCATCCCTAGTTATTAGTTACCAAAGACTGACTGAAGGATGCAAAACATAAAATAGTTTTAAATGTTTACTATTCTGTTCGAATACTAACTAGACATGGAAAGAATATAAACTCTGGCCACATCCAAGTCAATGATATGAAAATCAAACGAACGGAAACATATAAGTACTTGGGTGCAAACTTCAACTGCTCCAACATGCTGAGAGAAGAAATACAATCTAAAATACAATCTAGAAATAAAGTATACTATGCCCTTCAACATCTGCTAAAGTCAAAGTGTCTGTCTCGCAACACCAAGATCAAAATATTTAAAACGTTGATAAGACCAGTCGTTTTATAGGGCTCTGAAACTTGAAGCAGAAATAAAAAAGATGAGGCCTTATTACAGGTTTCCGAAAACTGTCTTACGACAAATCTTTGGACCCATCAAAGATGCTAACGGCTGGGAATGGAGAGTGAGAAGCAACAAAGTAACATATAATCTTTTTAAATCACCATTGATCATTGGCGTCATGAGAGCTAACAGACTAAAATGGTTGGGACCTATTGAAAGAATGTCAGATGATAGAGAAGTAAAAACTGTATACACCTGAGAGAGGAATGGGCGTAGACCACGAGGCAGACAAAAAAGAAGTTCGAGAGATAATGTCCAGCCAGACCTGCAAACAACTTGTGTCACAGATTGTGAAGATAAGGCCAGCCAAAGAGATGAATGGACACAAGTGATATCTGCAGCAGTAAACCTCAAGGGCTCAGAATGCTAAAGAAAAAGAGGATTTTCTGTGCTACTTTATGTGAAGTAAAAAAGTTCAGCGTACATTTGACATTGTGAATGTTTTTTTTTTTTTTAGATATATTTTATGCACTAATCCTATTTGTATTTGTATTTAGCCGAATAGTTGGTCCCGCTATTCGTATTCGGCCGAATAGTGAAAATCACTATTCGGTACAGCCCTACTTTTTATCCACCCTTTAATGCATATCATAAAGAGCTGGCATGTGATAATGAACAGTTCGACTTAAACATCAATGCATATACAGTCAGTTTTTATTTTTAGATTTGACTAATCCAAATACTCGAGTTAACAGAACACGAATTATCAAGACTTATTATACAAAGATAAAGATGGGAAATGGCCTGGACGTAGCTGATCATGGTGACTTAAGCAAATTTAGTCTTCAGAGTTTGACTTCTGTGGCCTCGACCATTTATATGAAGCTTTGAGGCTTGGCTAAAATTATAAGAATGGTCAATCCTAGATCTACATGGCCATGCAAATCTTTTCATCTCAAGGGCAGTTTCAGCTCTGGACTAATAGTACAGTAGGTGAATGTGCTAGCCACTTTGCCACCATATCTCAGTACACTACAGTGATATAAAACTGAAACAAAAAAATCAAACTCAGCTTTAATAAAATCATAAGTGATAAGAGTGACAGCATCATCACTGTAGTGAACATTTAAATATTATACATGCATTTTCAAAATTACAATACACTTTCAAAATTACATGCAAACTTTCAAAATGACATACACACACACACATCATGGCTTACTTTCCAACTTTGACATCTTCACTGTTTCGGATGTCTAACTGTAAAATGGCATGAGATCTGGATGAATCCGGATTTACTCCAGAAGCACCTTTGCTACGAACAGAATTCCCATACTGCAGAATCTGTGCGGGAAAAAATGAGGATGAAACAGAATGTGGTAATCTTAGTTTCTGCTTCATAGCAAACGGGTCACCTCATAGTTGCTCTGCCAACTAAAAACACACAGAATGTTTATCACAGTCCCTTGTGGAAAGATTGACAGACTGCTGTCTCAGCATTTTCACTAGCATACACACGCATTAAAAGCATACGGTAGCCATCAGAAGTGCTAACACAAACAGTCCGACATTAGAAATGCAGTTTATCGTGGATGGTAGCCGAAGTCACCAACAGATCATCCACATGATGAAACAGAAATTACAACCTGTGAAACAAATCCAAGTTGAGTGAGTCAGTTTTTTGTAAAAGACGTTCCAGTTGCTGTTTTGCTGTGATTATGTTCATGACAAATCCTGAAGCAGCCAATATTGTTATTTCATATATATGAGGTACCTGTCTTGAGCAAATGAAACGTTATTTCTTCAACAAGGCAAGCTGCCAGTATGAATAATGCTGCTGCTGCTTCTTCCACTATTCTTCCTCCTTTTTTCTTCTTCTTCTTCTTCTTCTTCTTCTTCTTCTTCTTCTTCTTCTTCTTCTTCTTCTTCTTCTTCTTCTTCTTCTTCTTCTTTTCTTCTTCTTCTTCTTCTTCTTCTTCTTCTTCTTCTTCTTCTTCTTCTTCTTCTTCTTCTTCTTCTTCTTCTTTCTTCTTCTTCTTCTTCTTCTTTCTTCTTCTTCTTCTTCTTCTTCTTCTTCTTCTTCTTCTTCTTCTTCTTCTTCTTCTTCTTCTTCTTCTTCTTCTTCTTCTTCTTCTTCTTCTTCTTCTTCTTCTTCTGCTTTCTGTTCTTCTTCTCTTCTTCTTCTTCTTCTTCTTCTTCTTCTTCTCTCTTCTTCTTCTTCTTTTCTTCTTCTTCTTCTTCTTCTTCTTCTTCTTCTTCTTCTTCTTCTTCTTCTTCTTCTTCTTCTTCTTCTTCTTCTTCTTCTTCTTCTTCTTTCTTTTCTTTCTTCTTCTTCTTCTTTCTTCTTCTTTCTTCTTCTTCTTCTTCTTCTTCTTCTTCTTCTTCTTCTTCTTCTTCTTCTTTCTTCTTTTTCTTCTTCTTCTTCTTCATTCTTCTTCTTCTTCTTCTTCTTCTTCTTCTTCTTCTTATTCTTCTTCTTCTGCTTCTTCTTCTTCTTCTTGTTCTCTACTTCTTCTTTCTTCTTCTTCTTTCTTCTTCTTCTTCTTCATCTTGTTCTTCTTTCTTCTTCTTTCTTCTTCTTCTTCTCTTCTTCTTCTTCTTCTTTCTTCTTTTTCTTCTTCTCTTATCCTTCTTCTTCTGCTTCTTCTTCTTTTTCTTCTTCTTTCTTCTTCTTTTTCTTCTTCTTTTTCTTCTTCTTCTTGTTCATCTACTTCTTCTTCTTTTGTCTGCTCTTAAAAAGATACTTGGAACACTGTGCTGTAATTTACATCTTGGTTGCAATTCTGCGCTTATCAGCCCACCGGATCTTTCAACAACCTTTAATCAGTCATCTTTTACAACAAAGGGAGGGGGGGGAGTGGGGGGTAGTGTAGAGAATGTTGTAGTGTACAGCGGGTGTTATAGTGTAACTGTTTCTTTTCCCCCCAAAATGGAGCCCAGAACCCACACAGAAAGTCTGAATAATTAAATTTGCATCCTTTTGAAAAAATTCTTTACAAAATGTGTGTTATAGTGCACATGTCTATGAGTGTTGTAGTGCACATGTCTATGCTATGTTATCACAATCAACGTCTTTGCACACTGGGCATCCCCATGCATGCTCAGACCTCCGATGCTGCAGTCACTTCAAGAAACCTAAACTGATTGTTCCCATGAGGAGCTGGTTATAGCATCTCTTGTCTTTACCTCAAAGACACCATAGTCATGCTTCCCCAAGCTTAACTATTTGGTCACACAGTCGTGTTAGCATCAGAGATTCGCCATTATCCCCCAACCTAGTCCGTAAGGCACTGATGATAACAGCTCCATCCATGCTTCTTCTATTTGCAATGGAGCATTACTTGCTAGCTGATCAGCTCTTTCATTACTCCTGCATGCCCAGGTGAGTAGATCCAGAAGATGGAGGTTAACTGCGACTTCCGATTGCTATATAGGTATTCAGAGCAGTCTACCAATTTTTCTGAAGCATGTCTGACATGATTACCACATGTGTTGCCACTTGTTCTGTTACCCATACATGTGTTCTGGAAGGGGCAGTTATTTCCATGGTCATACTTGACGTGGTCGTCTGGTATGTGCTGCTATCCTCTTTTATTGTTTTTCCCACCCTTTGTGCAGTGTATGCCCATGCTGATCTTGTCTCGCCCTTCACAGACCCATCTGTATAAATGACACTATCTTGGGGGTGTGAATGCTGATCAGTCAGTGCCCTAATTTTAGCCTCTTCGGTGGCAGGTATCTGATTCCTGCAGTACCTTTCCAGTGCTATGACAACTTTGTTCACATAAATAAACATAGGGGGAACTCTTGAGGCTGTAGAAATAGACAATGTATTGATTGGCACTCACAGAAAGAAGTAGAAAGATAGAAGGACGGCACAGTAACTATAGATTTCAATTTTTATGTTGCCTAGTGTGTTCTATCTTTCTACTTCTTTCTATGAGTGCTGATCAATGGATCATTGTGAATATTTTTCAATTCAAACAGTTTTGTTGTTGCCAAGAATCTGACTGAATCTCTGGAATGTGACAGAACAAATAATTTGCAGTCAACGAAGGTATGCTTTCTAAGATAATGCTTATAAATTATCTAGGCATCTCTCCATGTGTCTTCTGGGGTCTCGTTATGGAGGAAAAGGAATAGACCCAACTGCCCCCACTCCACCCCACCCCCTACTCCCACCATGTTGTAAAAGATGATTAATTGGTCCTTGTTGAAACTGGATGTGTTGAGTCGAAAGGTACAGATATGCAGATGTAGAAAAATATAGCCTAGCTGGCAACAAAATGGCAAGCCAGCTGCCCTTCTAAAGGTGAATGAAGAAGAACTTTGGACAGTCAGAGCAACTAATAACAGGTTTCTGGAGAAAGAAAAATAATCGTGGAAGCAGAACATGATATGCAAGTATGAACATTGTTCTCTGCTCATGTGATGAGAAGTGAAGAATTGGGGATCACTGTGGTCACTGGAAAGATAAGTGGTGGCATAGGCAGAGGCAGACTGACAGACGTGTGGTGACTGGAGAGATAAGTGGTGGCAGAGGGAGAGGCAGATTAAGAGGAATGTGGTGACTGAAAACACCAGCGGTGGGAGAGGCAGGGGCAGATTAAGAAAAGCATGGTGACTGAAAATATCAGCGGTGAAAGAGGCAGGTGTAGATCAGGAGAAGTGTGGAAACACCAGCGGCAGATTAAGAGAAGCAATTCTGGATGGTCTATAACACTGACATGGAGGAAAATCATCAAGAGATCTGATCCAGAAAACCAAGGACTGGTGTCTGTGGACAGCCATGTGAACCTATGTCATCTGGCAGGACAACGGTGAAGATTCCGAGAGCTCAATAATCAAAACTAATTAGTGGTAATAAATATTTGTGATTTTATTTCAAAATTAAGACAATTTCTATTAATATCAGCATGAAAAAACAATTTAGACAGTACCTGTACTAGAGAGTTGACACTTGTGGCCTCCGTTTCTGTCAGGCCAGCAATGCAAACTTGTCTGCTTCCATCTTCCCGAGCTTGAAGTCTGCAAAATGGATTTAATCAGTTTAATCATTCAATAACTTTAGTAAAAGATTTATTTTAAAAAGCTAAATGTAAAAATAACGCAAGCAAAAACAACACTTCACAACATAAAGAAAATTCAACACAAAACATTTGTATTAACTAATGTGAGAAGTAGAGTTGTTAAGTTCTTTACTAAACCCTTACAGCATGCATCTTTCCTGTAGCAACATATAGATGTTAGTCCGAAGAAAATAAAAGCTTTCAAGCCAAAATGCTATAGACAGATTCTCAGAATACCGCAGACCATGAAGAACACAACACTGACATCCTAAAAAATCTGAACATCAAGGAAAATTAGTTAGTAAACATCATCTTGTCTCAGAAACTAAAATATTTTGGCCATATCATGTGCTATGGCAGATGGGGGGGGGGGGGGGGGGAATAGCAGAAGGCATGGTACCAGGAAAGATGTGCACAGAACATAAGTGACACCTTGTTAGGAAAGTGCAAGAGCCAGAAGAGATGGCGAGAGACTGAGTTTCTTTCAGTCAGACCGCTATGAGAGTGATGATGGTACAGAGCCAGTCCTGATATATAGAGGCAAATTATGGACAGCCAGCAGTTTAGTGAAAAATTATGTGGAAGCTTCAGAGATCATGTTATCACACCAGGTATCAATGCACACTGTACACTCCCCTGTGTACTCAGTCTTCCCATGTAGTAGCAATTGAAGATCATCTCTACTGACTGCAAGGTATAAGAGAAGCGACTAAATAAGTGAGTAAAAATGTCATATTTTTTCTCTGAACATACCACAGACATGCCTGGCTAATTTGACATACAAGTCATGTAGTCAGGTTAATGTAAGAGACTTGACAGCATCCACTGGCTTACTCTATGTAGCACTGGCTATATCAGCCATGACCATGCTTCTTCCCACTCCTTGGTTCTTGCGTGGTGTGTTCTCTGAGCAGCATGGATCATCAACAGGACCTAACTGTCTCAGGAACCATACAACAGGAGACTCTGACAATCAACAGGAGACTCTGACAATCAACAGGAGATTCTGACAATCAACAGGACCTAACTGTCTCAGGACCATACAACAGGAGACTGACAATCAACAGGACCTAACTGTCTCAGGACCATACAACAGGAGACTCTGACAACCAACAGGACCTAACTGTCTCAGGACCATACAACAGGAGACTCTGACAATCAACAGGAGACTCTGACAATCAACAGGAGACTCTGACAATCAACAGGAGACTCTGACAATCAACAGGAGACTTTGACAATCAACAGAAAGGATCCTCACCCAGTCAGAAATTAAAAACATGAACAACTATCACAAACAGAACAAAGGAGGCAAAATTCAACAAGAGGAGCAGGAAACACAAATAGGATCAAGACATGCAAGGATGGAGGATACACCTGGATAGGGACACTTAGCCAAACAGGCACAAATACACACATATCTGCCAATAAACTTGGCACAAATTACCTGACCACAAATATAACTGACTGCTGCTCATAGCAAAAGCTGTTTCCAGCAGGTTGAACATTGTCGATCTTTTAATTTTGCGTAAAATTTTTATTGGAATTCTTCCCGCCCACATCAGTGGATTACTTGCCAAATATTTCACTCAGGCATTACCTTTGCCCTGCCCAGACAACAAGTCTTACAGTAATGAACAACCTTTGCCCTGCCTGGACAACAAGTCTTACAGTAATGAACAACCTTTGCCCTGCCTGGACAACAAGTTTTACAGCAACAAACAATCTTTGCTCTACCCAGACAACAAGTCTTACATTAACGAACAATCTTTGCTCTGCCCAGACAACAGGTCTTACAGTAATGAACAACAAGTACTAACCTATTTCTCCTATTGAGTAGATCAAAAAGCTGACCACAGTAAATTTCAAAAAAGCTGACCCACACGTGCAGACCTCTTCCATATGTGCCTGCTTGGATTATTGAAAAAATATCTTGACCTGCCAATAAGTAAAGTCCTGGCACATTTTCCCCTCCTAGCATTGTATGTGTTTTACCAGCTCCAGTTTGGCCATATGCAAAACATGTGGCAGTTCCCCTGATGGAAATAAAAATTGAAAATTATGCACATGGATTTGAACCTAGTATTGCTTTATAGAAAACACTCACAGCAATCTCTTTAAATCTATTGTAACACCTAATTTAAAAATAAGTAAATACTAAATAATTTAGGCTTCCTATTGAAAAGCTGTGAATATATATGGCCAGAAATTAACTGTTTCAGTTTTTGCAAAAATATGCTGGGGAAAAAACGAGGGGGGGGGGGGGGGGGAACTATTTAAAAAACATGTGGTGTTGATTGGTTAGTTTGTTGTGAATCATTAAGAGGTCTGTAAGTTTCCATTTTAGGTTTCACTCTTAAGAAATTTGGTTTGCCCAGCAATTTGTCTGTGTATTTTAAGTCAAGAGGAAGTCTTTATTACTTCAGGTTGTATTACATCTCTCTCTCTCTCTCTCTCTCTCTCTCTCTCTCTCTCTCTCTCTCTCTCTCTCTCTCTCTCTCTCTCTCTCTCTCTCTCTCTCTCTCTCTCTCTCTGGGTATTTATCCTTTTTAGCATCTGCTGCTGGCACCAGTTAAACTCTTTGCTAGCCGCTGAAAATGAGGACAGAACACTTATGGGAATGTGCTGAGTGCTCTGATGTCAGTTTTGAACTGAGCTCAACTCAGCTTAGTATCTCTGAAATTTATGTACTCTTATTATCTGCAGAATTATTTTCCCCTTTGTGAATCTGCTGCAGAAGCTTCAGGACCTAAAAGCGTTAGAACAGTAAACATGTATACAACACAATGCATACCCATTAAATATACAGCTGATGAGGGGTCTTGCAGCTCTGAGGTAGACATCTTCATTGGTACACTTCTCATCAAACACCTCATCGAAGATAAACTCATGCTGAAGACAAGTACACACACAAGAAATAGTATCTTTAAAACAACCTTATTTTATGTATTATAAAATAAAGAGACATGCAGGACAAGAATGAAGTGTATGACAAAATAATTTTAAAACATTTATGTAAACTTCTTCTCTTGGTGTACTGCATGTACCATCAAATGTGAGAAAATACTGTTTTGGTTTTGTTTTTTTTTTTTTTGTCTACAGGTATGCATCCACGATGTCATTCTAGCTAGAAAAACACCTGCTAGCTTAAGGGTTTTGGGTCTGAATCCGTATCAGGAGGGCTTTTTTTCAAAAATGGTCTCGGCTTTCAAGTTGATCCAGCCTAAAAAGAGTGGGTACAAGGTAATGTCTTAAGGCAAATCAATATGGCCGTCCAGCAGGATTCTACATGCATGCCAACATGATTTATGCTTTTAGAAGCTTCAAATTTAAATAAAACATGTGTTTATCAGATTTATCCAGTTAGATAAAGAAAGTTGGGAAGTAAACTTGTTTCAGTCATTTATAGTCAAACTTTGATAAAGGAGAACTCCTATATGTGCCTCGTGCAAAGCGTACAGCACAAAATAAAGTCAGCTGGTACAAAGAATAAATATTAGTTAAAAGGAGATTTTCTTCAGTGCAAGTTAGTTCTAGTGCCATTCCCTTTATTATTTAGGAACATACTACACAATTTCAGGCAAATTAAGTGTTACATAAATTCCATTTTTATGTGAAGATAATAATTGTTTTAGGAAGTCAATTCTCTTTACCAAATAATAGTGCTCTGTTATGATGCTCCAAAAGTTTCTCTGGAAAAAGATCTAATGTGCAGATTATGTTTATATTTTACTTATACATTACTAAGTGGTTCATCTTCATTTGCGATTCATTTTGGATATAATTTATCAAGTTTTCCTTAAGTGCTCTGGTGGTAAGTTGAAAATCATTATTTCATTTTACTGTCAAACTGTCAATTAATGCCTTTATTATACCACTTTTGCAGTGTACGCAGAGGCATGGCTAGTGCTGTCGCCCCGACTGTGCAGGTGAGGATTTTATTTTTTCCCCTGACTGAAAAAATCCCCAGCCTTACCAAGGATTCAAACCTGGGTCTCCAGCTTGAGAGTCCAGCATTTTAACCGTTCGGCCAGCCACTCCTCATTTCATTTAATAATTTTACTTAACATGCTGTCTGTTAATTTACTAATGTTATACAACTAAAAAAATTATTTGTAGCAGCAGTATTCTAATATTATTCATCAACAATCCCTGGTCACTTTACATGTATGTTGCATGGCAGCTGAATAGTATAGTCTGTTTTAATGTGTTACACTTAGGAAATGTACATTTTTTTTACTCCCCCTCCTTTAGGCCTCTGATGCTTAACCCCCAGGGACTCAAAGAGTTAATGTAAATAAAAACATTTTATAACAGTGAAGACTCCCAGTGTGAGTCCTAGGGCCCCAGTTTTAGAACACACTGCCCCCCCCCCCCTTACCCCCAACAAGCATGCCATTCAAGATGACTAATTAGTTGCGTTTCCTTCTATGTCAGAGTGCTTCTGCACAGGAGGTGAGGAACAGGATGACCATATTGTTAGGACAGTATTGTTTTAGGTAGGTCCAGACCGTCGGGTTGATATTTAAGTCCACTCTCTTCTCCCAACTGATGTTGAGTAGTGATGGGACTGTTTGGGTAGGCCTAAAAAGTGATACTGTTTGCGCAAAAGAAAACATGACTTTTGGTCGCCCCGGCAAGGAATTAAATGTCTGCTGATAAATAAGCCACATGTGAAAAATGTATGTGCATGAAGTCCTGAAGTGGACAAACAAACAGAACTTTCCAGCAGAGATTACAGACAGTGAGCAACCAGAAGAAGAAGAATGGTGGATACAGCAGCAACAAATGTATATTTTTAAAATACAGAACGTAAGGATACATTTCCTTTCCCCCCCCCCCCCCCCCCCATTATTTGATACCATGTTAAGAATTTGTTCTGGGAACCTCATTGGACAAATACTCTTGTTTATCTGTTTCCCTGGTAGTCAGGTTAGTTGTGTATCCTTTACAGGACATTGCAGAACCAACCCCAGCTTTCTGATAACTGTTTGATTTTACCAGGCAATTTTACTTCAATTGTTTTCCATTGCTCTCTGGACAGTCAGCTCTCGACACCTCAAATGAAATCAACACAAGGCAGTCTGTGCCAAATCACCCGCAGCTGGAATCTTGCCACAGACGCTGCCTTCCCTCGTAGGTCTGACTAATAATCAGTTTGCCAGACAACTGCCCTGTCCACAATGGATTTTAGCTGTAATGAATCCCAACACTTTCTGTCTCCTGTTGTAATAATTTTCTTTGATGGATGTTAGTCATATTTTAACATTATCTTCTCAACTGTTTCGCTGCTTGCTCTTTTACCTTTGACCTTTCCCTCCAGCAGTGTATTTATAAATAAAAAAAGACTGGGGAAACAGGGACATACAAAAGAAACCATAAGATGAATGTAGATGAGTGAGGCCAAAGGTCTGTATTCCATCCATGATACTGAATCAACTGCACAGGATCAAATGGAATAGAAAATATAAACTGACGATGATGATTCTGTCTATACGTGTGTAATGTTTTAAATAAGACTACTATATTTCACAAATTTCTTTTGAATGCTCTTTTCTCTCAACTCCTCTTAGTAACCTTGGTAACCTTAGTTTCAGCTTCATAGCAGTGGGGTCACTCCATAGTTGCTCCACTCCATGCCAACGAGAAATACACAGAATGTCCATCACTATCTTTTGTGGAAAAATTGACACAGACTGCAATCACCGCATAGCACGCACGCACGCACCCATGCGCGCATGCATGCACGCACGCATGCATGCACGCACGCACGCACGCACGCACACACACACACAAAGCATAAGGCAGCCATCAGAAGTGCTAACACAAACAGTCCGACAATAGAAATACAGTTCATTATCGACGGAAGCAGCAGTTAGTCTGTCAGAAGAAAAACAATTATCCATGACTAAAGACAATGACCCTGCCTATCGTCCATTTTGACCGGAAGTGGTGTCAACTTCTCTAGTATAGGCAACTCTGTGGTAATGGACTAACAATAAAGTCATCATAATCAAGTGCTTTGCTCTTTGGGGTGGACAATCAAAGTTGTCAACAACTCTTATTGTCAGTATATACTACATTACAAAGATTTTTTGCACAGTCAAAACCTCACATCAGCTATAACTTACAATCAGCAATTGTGAAATTAAAAAAGAAACTAACATTTGCATCTTCAGTGGATCTTTGTACAAAACACAAAGTGTTTTTTCTTTTTTTTAAAACTGTTCTATTATATAAGAATGAAACAGCAGTACAAAAGCTGTATCAAAAAGGAGCAAATAGAAAAATTAATGAAAAGAGCGAGAAGAATCTAAGCAGGCTTTTATCATGGTATAAAAGCTGCCAGCACACAAACTGAAACATTCCGTTAGGACTGCAAGGGATGATTGCCAAAAGCAATACAGCAAAGCTCATGATGTTAATGATGATATGTGTTATCTTTTTAACTACAACGGTTCATTATGACTTGGGCTGTTTTCTTCTCTTGTTATCTCAACAACAACAAAATAAAATTCCTTGACCATTATCATATGTTTACTTTCTCTTGTGCAATTGCCTCTCCTATTTTTACTGGCTTTAGACTGGATTATGAAGACAGTAGCTGCTAACACCAAGAATGAAATTCAGTGGACCCCTACAAAACAGCTTGATGATCTGTAGTTCGCTGATATTTCTCTTCTGTCCCATTCACAGAATCAGATACAAGATAAATTAAATATACTTGATGCGAGATCTCAGCAGCTGGGTCTGAAAATCTATAAAGGTAAGACAAACATAATGAGATTAAATCAGGCAAATAGTAATGTGGTTTCTCTAATGGCACCCCACTCCAAGACATGGAGTCGTACACCTATGTGGGCAGTAATGTAGATAAAGATGGGGGAACTGATACAAATATTCGAATATTTATACAAAAAGCAAGAGGAGCTTCCATAGCACCAGGGAATTAGTGGGGGTCAAAAGAAATGAAAATAAATACTAAACTTAAAATTTTTAATTCTCATGTCAAATCAGTACTTTTGTATGGGGCGGAAACATGGAGAACAACTAAGGCAATTACTAATAAACTACAGATATTCATTAACTGGTGCCTGCGCAAAAAAAGGGAATTAAATGGTATGATAGAATCACTAATGTAAGAGCTTTGGGAGAGAACTGAGCAAGCTCCAGTGGACCAAGAGGTGAGGAAAAGATGCTAGCGTTGGATAGGACACACCGTGAAAAAACTGGAGAACAATATACTAGAATGTCTTTTGCGCAGAAACCCCCATGGGCATAGGAATAAAGAAAGGCCCAAAAAACACGTGGAGAAGAGAGCTGGAGAATGAAGTTAGAAAGATGGGGAGGACATGGTGAGAGCTGCAGGTGATAGCAAAAGATAGAACGACTTGGCCTGAGTTGGTTGAGGGCCTATGCTCCATTGGGGGCTAGAAAGGACAGAAGAAGAAGACTTTCTCTTAATTCATTTAGTAAACAAAATTTAGTTTCTCACAATACATTTATGACCTGACACCATTATTACCTGCAGCGTGTACGCCTTTAGATCCACAGCCAGCTTTGGCTCATTGACAATTAAAGTATTTGTACTTTCAGTGTGAACAATATCTTCTTCCTTTGCTCTCAACTCCCTTCTTGTCAAAGGCCTTTTCCGGACACAAACCTTGATCTTTTCTTCACCGGTACTCCTGTGCAAGCTTGACCGTGTTATACGTGGCTTTCCCTGATGAACTGACTTTATGAACTCCATAGTTGTAAGAATTCCTTTTTGAATGATGAATTCGCTCGATGGCTGCCCCTCGTGAAGCAGAATTTCGTACAGTCGAGGGTGACGTAGTGCTTCTGTAGGCCGACTGAGCTGCAGCCTGTTCCTGGTCAGAGTGATCGCCTGCTGCGGCATCGGATTCACTGCTCTCTGAAATCTGTCGCAGCAAGTTCATATATGTGGCCAGGGAATAGTTTGGAACTCTCTCTTGTAGGCTTACATCCCTGGATGGGTCTAACTGTGGAACACTGAAAGTACCGACCTCACGATTAGCACTTCCTCTGCTGTTGGGACTACGTTGACTTCTGACATTTTGTGTTGCTCTTCCAGAAGTTGGACTATTCTCATAAGAACTATTTGTAAAATTAGTGTTTGAAGAATGTGGCTGCCGTTGTCCTAAATTGCGTCTGTGGGGACTACCTGAGAGACCAGAACTGTGCACTGATTTAATAATATTCACCAGTTCAATAAGACGTCGTTTGTCTTCGCTACTTGTAATGCCTAATGCAAAAAACTCTGGCATTCCCAAGTTGATAAGTGCCTCCGATCTGGTGATGCCATTTGCTCTAAATGCTGGGTAGAACTGTTCTAGTCTGGCCTCTCTAAGACACTCATATAATGTTCCCATCATAGAATCTGCAGAGGACATAAAAAAATGGCATGTGTATATTTAAAACAGATTATTGGTGTTTCAATAAAAATACAGTAAAATAAAATATTGTGCTTTTACAACAATAGAGGTTGGCTGCGAAATACCTAATGCTAACTATGCAAATATTTTCTGGTGAGGCTCCAATCTCTTCCCAAGTGCAACTTTCAAACTGCTGGCTAAACTGACAACAAACAATGCCAGTAGGAAGAAAGGAGCAGAACTTAAATATAGCAGAAAAGTGCAAAGGTATTACAGATCTCTGAGCTTACATATCTCGGACAATATTCACTGAAGAAGGCAAACTGGATGCAGAAATTAGCATCCGATGTAACAAAAACTAATGGGATAGCTAGACACCCACCCCCTTTTCCTTTTTAGAAAACAATCACAGTCAGCAGAAAGAGACATTTCATTCAAAGTATATCCATCAATACCTGTGCTTCTAGTGCCACATATGGTCCCTCACAGCAAAATATAAAATTTAGTAACCATAGAAATGAGATGTCTAATAAAGGCTGCAGTAGTACCCTGAGAGACGGCTCAATAGCTTTCACATGCGATGCTTAAGAAGAATACGTGGCATTAAGTGGCAGGACAAGATCACAAACACTGAGGTACTGGAAAGAGCAGGTACTACAACAGTCTTTTCCAGTCTAGGAAGTCTCAGGTGGCTGGGTCACACCTGGAGAATGGAGGATGGCAGATTCCCTTTGGACATCCTTCATGGTGAATTTAAGACAGGAAGATGTCGAGGCCGACCTCTACTATGTTATAAAGATGTGTGCAAGCGGGACATGAATGATAAAGGTATTGATGTGGATTCATGGGAACAAAATGCCATGTTATGAGAAAAGGGCATATCAGGAAGGGAATGAGACTAAAGGAAGAAATGATTGCAGAAAGGATGAGAGCTGAGCGTTTGAAAAGAAATGGATTAAACACAAATGATGTTAACAATGGTCCTGAAATCCCATGCTATCATTGTGAAAGATTTTTCTTGACACAGGCGGGTCTTGCTAGTCACACTCGCCACCGCCATGGGCGGTGAGTCTCATGCCTCCTCACAGAGCAATATAACACTATCGTCTGGAAAGACCGAAAGGTGCCAATAACAATGACAGTACCCTGTGATTCTAGTGCCAGATATGGCCACTCATAACAAAATATACAGTTTAGTAACCATAAAAATGTGATGTCTAATACAGGCTGCAGGAGTGACAATAAGATCAGGAAAATATTGAATGACAATGGGGATCATCAAAGGCCCGAGCCCAAACATAAATAAAGATCATTAATACAATACAATTGGCAATTATCCGCTGGCCACTTGCTAGGCTTCTGCAGGCCAAATTCAGGCCATGGGTTGCCATTAAATAGTGCTGATCTATACTAAATCAGTCATTCCTCGTGGGATGCAATTTTTCGTTATTTTGAACCCCCACCCTGGCTCTTGCCGGGGCCACAATATAGCCTGGCCATAAATATGGCCTAATTGCCAAACGTGGTTTCCAGGACATCTCCAAGGAAGATCCTCATCCACATGGTGGCACTTTGTGTCATCAGGTGATTATCGCTTGTGTGATGTCCTAGTGGGGTAAAATCTACTACTACTACTACTACTACTACAACTACTACTACTAAATTACATACAAGATAGCAAATAAAATAATTTGCCCACCTAGAGTGAATGCCTTTTGATGTCATACCATATAGGCAAACACCAAAAGAGGAGAAGAATGAAGAGCAACGGGTTGACCAAGAACAACATAGACATATAACATTAGAAACCAAAACTATGTATCTTTGTTGACACTCAAAAAAGTGAAGATGAAGAAGAAGAAGAAGCAGCAGCAGGAGGAGGAGGAGGAGGAGAAGAAGAAGAAGAAGAAGAAGAAGAAGAAGAAGAAGAAGAAGAAGAAGAAGAAGAAGAAGAAGAAGAGAAGAAGAAGAAGAGGAAGAAGAAGAAGAACAGCAGAAGCATACATAAGAAGCAGAAGAGGAGGAGAAGAAGAAGAAGAATAAGAAGGAAGAAGAAGAAGAAGAAGAAGAAGAAGAAGAGAAACTACCAAAATTTGTTTACAAACATCGCCATTTTGAAATTCCCGCTGCCATGGTATCCAACGATATTCAATAAACCTGTCGTCTACTGGTTGACTTGTTTTTTGTTATAGATACAACTATTTTGTTTTAGATTACTTTTTAACTTTATCAACTTATTTAGTAATAGAAATACCCTTTATTCATCATTACTTTTATGAAATATCAAACCTAATAATTTCCCAAAATAATCTGAAATAAATTATCGTCTGCTGCGGCAATGTTTGAGTTACCAGGAAGCACACATTGCAAACTTGTCTGGGATAGTTTTCTTCTCTTATGATTATATCTTCATTATAGCGTAATAAACATTGTTCTCGTTTGTGTGTATTTCATTATTGTTTGATACTGTGCACATACTGTCTCGATTTCACTCATATTTTGGACCGAAGTACTTGGAAAAGCCGTGACTATGATGCAAGCAGTGATACAGCTGATGTCGGCCAAGATGGCAGCCGCCAGTAACGCTGCAGGGTTGTTGGTCTTCAGGATGCTGCAGAATAACCCTGAATATCTCATGCTACAGCATTCCTATGGAGACAATCATTGGACTCCGCCTAAGGGTAAACACTAATATTATAAATTGTGTTGATTTCCTAAACAAATGTATAGTATTTCTCATTGTTCTGTCTGGCTTGATGTGTGGTCCATTTTATTTTTGGCTCTCCTCCGAATAACGGTCGTAAATTATCGAGACGGAAAATATACCCTAACAGGGCCTCAGTCATGTGTCAGTTGCGCACTTCTATAACGCCGCCGCCGAATTGCAAACTTCCGCCACCGCCGAGATTATCCCCCACGCCGCTCACTAGATGGCTAGGACTCACGAGCAAATAAAATGAAGGAAGCTGCAGGAGATGCGGTAGCTGCTGCTCATGAGTCCCAGCCATCTAATTTAGCCCCAATCCACGCGGCATGTCGGATACTCTTGGCGGTGGTGGAAGTCACCGGAAGCACGTAATTAAAGACGATGGAAGTGCGCAATTGACACGTGACTGAGGCTCTGTTAGGGTATATTTTTGGCCACAATAATATGTGCCCGTTATTCAGAGGATAGCCGACAAATTATAGTGGAGCTGATATCGTTGACACAAGCTTTTATGTGGCTAGAATCACAGGAGTATTCCCGCATGCGTGTGCTGAGTGATTCTTTTAGCATGATCCGGGCGGTGAGGGGGGAGGGGGGGGGGGTCGAGGCACGAGGTAGGCTGGTTACCAGACAGTTGTTTGAGTCATTGCAAAACTCTCCTGTGTGTGCACTTACCTTCATATTCGTCCTAGGTCATGAAGACGTTGTTGGTAAAGAAAGATCTGATAGACTGGCAGGTACTGCATTAGTTAAAGATGGCTGGCCCATGGATCACGCAGACATTGTCATTGCCCTTAGACATATAGGACGTTCTGAGGATTTTGGAAGCAGTGTGTCCACATCACTGCTAAGAATACAAGAATTGGGAGTAAAGATCGGCACAGCCAAGCATGAGAAGCACACTGGACACACACAAAGTCTTGTTAACCTCCAAAGGCCTGGCACTATTAACTGCTCAATGCTGACGAATATGTTGAGAGGGGAATCTGAGCGCTTATGGATGTGTCCAGAGTGCTGTGAAGATAATCTAACTCAATACTCATAACTTATATTGGAGCTGACAAAAGATAGATTCCGTTAGCATTTTGTGACAATAAATTTTTTTAGCAGCAATATGTTATGATAATATGGGCAGTGAGGCCTACGTGTATAAGCATTTCTTAATTATGTATAATGCAATATGGGCCTAATTTTTGTATAAAATTGGCTGCAAGCTCACTATTTTTAAGGAAATACAAAATACATTTATGTTTTTTGCCGAGCTTGGCAAGATGTATTATGCAGAGTGATGAGGTGGTCTCATGACACAGAAATGCTGATATTGGGTGAGATTATCTGAAAAGTATTTTTAAAAATAGCTGTCAGCTCACTAGTTTAAGTAGGTACTTTATGAGATAATGATTAAAAGAAGTTTAAAATAAAAAATATTCAATTCACTGCGCTTGATTTTACCCTTTATGGCTCAATCTTTCTCTACACAATGGCTAGCCACCTGTCAGGAACGTTGCACTAAGCACAACCTCCATAGTTTCAGCAATGATTTCCAGGGCACCTATTAGGTTCAAACCATTAGGCAGATGCAAATGGCATACAAAATAAGCCACTGTACATTCTGCTTTTAGTTTTACTCTGTAGTTTCTAAACATTTTAAAGGAGAGGTATATGATATCTAACTTGTGCTAATTAAAACTGACATGCCATATAAACAAAGCCTAAGTTGATTGAGTGTATGATATCTAACTTGTGCTAATTAAAACTGACATGCCATATAAACAAGGCCTAAGTTGATTGAGTGTATGATATCTAACTTGTGCTAATTAAAACTGACATGCCATATAAACAAGGCCTAAGTTGATTGAGTGTATGATATCTAACTTGTGCTAATTAAAACTGACATGCCATATAAACAAGGCCTAAGTTGATTGAGTGTATGATATCTAACTTGTGCTAATTAAAACTGACATGCCATATAAACAAGGCCTAAGTTGATTGAGTGTATGATATCTAACTTGTGCTAATTAAAACTGACATGCCATATAAACAAGGCCTAAGTTGATTGAGGACTTATTCTTGATAAGCGGCAGATGAAGAAGATCCTAAACAAGCTACAGTTAATAAATGTTTGAAGTTTACTAGTAGTTGAACTGATTTGTTGGTAAAGTTAAATAGTCTAACTTCTCATCTGTGACAAGGCACATTGTTATTTAGTGAACTAGTAATTCAGTACAGGCCTTGAAAACTCACTGGGATTAGGCCAAGGTTAGTACTGCGCCCCCCCCCCCCCCCACCCCCCCCACTCCCCCAGATGTTAGGTATTTCATTGTCAACGGAACCATTGCCTAACAGACTCCAATTTATTTTGACTTTATCAGAATATAATACAGCAAGTAAAATATAGTCACCTACAAAAGTGGGTCAGACTACATAATATGGACAGCAAACATCCTGCAGTACATTTGATGCGCCTACAAAAGCTCAGTCTAGTATATTTCTAATAGACTAAAATGGCTGGAGCATATTGAGAGAATGTGAAATGACAGAAATGTAAAAACTTTATACACAAGGAAGCTGAATGGTCGTAGACCACGAGGCATACCAAGAAGATGATGGAGAGATAATGTCCAAACAGACTTGCAAACACTTGGTGTCACCAACTGGAAAGAGAAGGCCAACCAGAGAGATGAGTGGAGGCGGCTGATATCTGCAGCAATGAACTTTAAGGTCTTGAAATGCTGAAGAAGAAGAAGACGAAAGTTCAATCAGTAAATGTTTTCATAGCTTGATAGTTCAAGGTACACAGGAAAAGAGAAGTATAATTTAGTCTTTACCAGAATTATACACTTACACACACACAAAAACACATACACACATATATAAATTCATTATTTTCTAACCATTTCATCGTATAATTTCACATAGTTTTTCTGCTGGCCTCTGCATTTTTATTTATTTGTATTTGTTTAACTCCTAGGACATGTGGACCCAGGAGAATCAGAATTTGAGACAGCTTTACGTGAAACAGAAGAGGAGGCCGGCTTTAAAAAAGAGCAGTTGAAAATCATTAAAGATTTTGAGAAGCACCTCAACTATGAAGTCAATGGAACACCCAAGCGAGTGATATATTGGTTATCTGAGCTCCGTAATCCAAATGACCCTGTGAAATTGTCTCACGAGCATAAAGATTTCAAGTGGTTACAGTTGGACGAAGCTTGCCAAGTAGCCAAATATCCAGATATGGTCCAGTTGTTGAAAGAAGCTAATGCCTACATACTACGGAAATATAAATTGTAATATATAATCGTGCCTTCATTTGCTCAGAATATTATTATTATTTATTGAAACTAAGTATTTCTTAGCAAGTTTTCTGATATTTTGTTGCATTACTGGCCCTCCACAGTCTGCTCTTCAGCTTTGATTTGTCAGCCTTTTTTCACTGTCGTGACTGATGCTTAACAACAACAAATCAGTGTGCAATTTAATGCCAACAACTTTTTACTTCCAATTTAATGCATGTCCAAATTTATTAAGAAGCCACAGATCAAATGGTTGGGTCAGAATACAGCCACAATAACTACCAATACAGGTGCTGTATCTAAAAAGATCTGATATGAAGACAAGAGGATACTCAAGGAGAAAATAGACTGATGACATTAAAAACATACATCCACATGAAATGACAGTGGTCAGTACCACCACTTGAGCTTACTACTAACACAGTTGCATGATCTAGAAGTAAAGCATAGTGCAGCACGTTTATGCCACCTTCAAGGCCGAGATAGGAGACATTGTAACCAACTCCTTAGAGGACCAATCAGTAGAGGTACCTTGAAGTGGCTGCTGTATTGAAGGAGTAGCACACATGGAAATGCCCAGTGTGCAGTGATGTCAACTGTAATAACATAACCATCAGTTTAACGCTGGACTGTAAACTGTTGCTGCCAGGATACCCAACGTCAGAAATTGAGGTTAACAATAATCATTTTAATGAAATGTGCCTAAGTATTCTGGATTATTTGTAATGTGATATTTACTGTTGCTTGACTTATTTATTGATGGTGTCAGGAAAGGCAAAGATAGTGGGGACCTTAGCCAGATTCCCTGACCTCCATCAACTCTGTTAAGCATTGATATGTGTACAGTCTTTGATTTGTTTCTTGTATTTTTCTATTACATTTGTGAAAAAATATGAATATCCTTCTTTACAGCATGGTCACCACAGTCTGTCCATTTAATGTGTAAGCATTTGTAAATGTAACCAGTTCACAGTGATCTCAGTTTTTTACTGGGAACAGGATGCTATGTTGCTATGTTGCATGGAGGGAGAAATCAGGATGCTATGTTGCATGGAGGGGGAAATCAGGATGCTATGTTGCATGGAGGGAGAAATCAGGATGCTATGTTGCATGGAGGGGGAAATCAGGATGCTATGTTGCATGGAGGGGGAAATCAGGATGCTATGTTGCATTAAGGGAGAAATTAAAATGCTATGTTGAATGGAGGGAGAAATCAGGATGCTATGTTGCATGGAGGGAGAAATCAGGATGCTATGTTGCATGGAGGGAGAAATCAGGATGCTATGTTGCATGGAGGGAGAAATCAGGATGCTATGTTGCATGGAGGGAGAAATCAGGATGCTATGTTGCATGGAAGGAGAAATCAGGATGCTATGTTGCATGGAGGGAGAAATCAGGATGCTATGTTGCATGGAGGGAGAAATCAGGATGCTATGTTGCATGGAGGGAGAAATCAGGATGCTATGTTGTATGGAGCGGGAAATCAGGATGCTATGTTGCATGGAGGGAGAAATCAGGATGCTATGTTGCATGGAGGGAGAAATCAGGATGCTATGTTGCATGGAGGGAGAAATCAGGATGCTATGTTGCATGGAGGGATGAAAGGGAGAAATCAGGATGCTATGCTATGTTGCATGGAAGGAGAAATCAGGATGCTATGTTGCATGGAGGGAGAAATCAGGATGCTATGTTGCATGGAAGGGAAATCAGGATGCTATGTTGCATGGAGGGAGAAATCAGGATCAGGTTGCATAGGGGGAAATCAGGATGCTATGTTACATGGAGGGAGAAATCAGGATGCTATGTTACATGGAGGGGGAAATCAGGATGCTATGTTGCATGGAGGGGGAAATCAGGATGCTATGTTGTATGGAGGGGGGAATCAGGATGCTAGGATGTATGTTGCATGGAGGGAGAAATCAGGATGCTATGTTGCATGGAGGGAGAAATCAGGATGCTATGTTGCATGGAGGGGGATGGAGGTTGCATGGATCAGGATGCTATGTTGCATGGAGGGGGAAATCAGGATGCTCATGGAGAAATCAGCTATGTTGCATGGAGGGGGAAATCAGGATGCTATGTTGCATGGAGGGGGAAATCAGGATGCTATGTTGCATGGAGGGGGAAATCAGGATGCTATAGGATATGTTGCATGGAGGGGGAAATCAGGATGCTATGTTGCATGGAGGGAGAAATCAGGATGCTATAGGATATGTTGCATGGAGGGGGAAATCAGGATGCTATGAGCTATGTTGCATGGAGGGGGAAATCAGGATGCTGTGGGATATGTTGCATGGAGGGGGAAATCAGGATGCTATAGGATATGTTGCATGGAGGGGGAAATCAGGACGGAAATAGGGATAACATGATTATGGATAGTTTGAGAGCTGAATGTCTGAGAAAAGGCATGCTAAATACATGTGGTGGCAACATTGGTCCTGAAGTCCCATCCTGTAATTGTGGAAGACTCCTCCTAATGTGAGTGAGTCGTTAATCACACTAGCCACAGCCATGGGATGTGATTTCTATGCCTTCCTTAAACACAGTATAACACTATTGTCAGACAACAACAAAAAGCCCTTATCATTTTACATGACGTTTATTGAAGAAAAATTATAACCGTGGCTTGGTACACAGAGCTGATGGTGTTGACTGTTAAAAACTCGAATAAGTCCTGAGAAAATGTGAGCACCTTTTAGCTGATTGGTTTTCAACTTTTTTCAGGTGACGCTCCTGTAATATATGGAAAATCCTCCTTGTGCCCACTCCCTCCAGCTTTAAAAAAAAAATGTGATTCAAGAGAGGAGTTAGATGTACATACGATTTGATTTTTTCAAGCACCGACATCACAGCACTCGGGGCATTCCCATAAACTCTCCGTCCCTATCTTCAGCAGCCAGCAAAGAGTTCCGATAGTAATGGTGCCAGTAGCATTTTGATTAAACGTCCGTCTTGTCCTTTCCTCTGTGCATCTGCCAGTACCCCTCGTCACCCCCAACTGCATCAATCTCACCACACTGTGGTGATCAATCTGCTCCAAACTGAACACGCTCTCTCACAAGGCACTAACCATGTCTGCCCTATCATGCATCAGTATTCCACTAAGCTGTGCAGAGCTTATGAAAACAAAAATGAGAAATGCCCTTGTTATATTTTTGTTTTGTTTTATAGTGTTAAAAATATTTTGTTTGTAATTAAAACTTTTAAAATTTTAGCATAGCAGATTATTACAAGCACAAATGCACTCAATTTCAAAATTGCTTAATGTCCCCCTTGAAAGTCCATTTACCCCCCTCCCCCCATGTTTGAAACCACTGAATTGACTTGTCCAATGTGCAATAAAAAGTCCTTTTTAAAAAAGGGTTTCTGAAGGCTCCCTTAAATCTTCTCAATACCACAGTGACCAGGTGTGCCACATTGCTGATGTGAAGCCAACAAGAACATATCCTAGATTCCCCAGTCAGCCATACGAAATATGTTTTATGTTTTTAAAGTTGATTGGTATATTTTTTGTTTGTTTATGGAGTGCTGTTACTTTTTCACATGTTATTTATGTAATTTACTGCAAACTGAAAAAGTGCTTACATGTTGTTATTAGGGCCTCGTCATTTAGATTTAATTAGTCGTTCAACCATATGATTACATTTATTCCTAATAATACAGTAAGCTACACAAAGTCACTGGCACAGTGTAATCTCTTCATTTCAGAAACATTTCATCATAATACAAAAATTATACACAGCTTTCATACAATGAAAGTGTTTTAACATAGCGGTACTCAAAATTAGAAGGCTTTAAAACTTGAATGAATTTTTCAAGTATGTGTTGCCTCAAAACTGGAACACCACCTTGGAAACTGAAGGTCTGACATGTGCCGATCAAACGACTCAGTTGACAACACAAGAGCTTCAGTACTTTCACATGAGCAAAAAAATATTGTTTTGTTTATATAAGTTTACAAACTAACTGACAACACTGATGAGGTGATTCACATTTACAGTTGGTTCACATGGCTTGTGAAAGTGGACAAATGATGAGTCTCAAGCTGTATTATTGGCTGGTGTTGTGGTGTTCTTTAAATAATAGAATTGTTGGAGATGTGTTGCTGGACGTCGCAGTAAATGGCAGTAATATAAAGAGAGATAATTCACTAAAATATCGAGGAATTACTTTTGACAGGAGTGTGTCTTTCAAACACCATTTGGAAGAGATAGTTTTAAAGATACAGAAAGGACTCAATTCTTTGAAGGTGATGGCATCAGCGGACATAGAACAGAGAGTTGACAACACAAGAGCTTCAGCACTTTCACATGAGCCGAAAAAAAAAAAATTGTGGAAAAATATTGCTTGTAGTGAGGAAGAGGGAGAACCTGGAAAGATTAGAACTGCTGAAATTCAAGATATTTTGACCAGGTGGTTAAAAAAGCAAGAAGTTGTTGAAACGGTAGATTGTATGTCAGATTCTTCATTGTATACTTTTGAGATTTTAGTATTGTTAAATAAACCAACTTTTCTTTTCAAATTGTCATTTCCCTTGAATTGTATTAATGATGAATCATTTGATTTTATTATACAACTCTATAACAGTGTTGTGTTTATTGTAATTTCAAATTCAAATTGAATAAAAATCCAGTTGCATCAAATGTTAAATCTACATGCTGGATCTGATTTTCACCTTTCAATATTTCACTGTTGTGTCCCTTTATCTATGAGGATTGCCCGGCTCTCTAGCGAAGTTGGTTAAACCTGACGTTCGCGGCGGCCGGGTGACGAACTCCTTGTGGTCCGGGTTCACTCCCGGGGGTAGGCAGAAAAGCCACATTTCTCCCAGATTAACGGTACCTATAATGGAATCAAGGCCGAAGGGTTGCGATATCCATAGTACCGAGCTAAAGGGTTTACAACTCATGGTTTCTGGATACGTGAAAAAAAAAAAAAAAAAAAAAATCTATGAGGATAGAATCTTCTTCTTTAAGATTTGCTCTGAAAAGGGCTGTT